TCGGGCGAGTGTGGGTAACCCTGACGACTGCGAATCGGTTAAGCAGTGTCACTGCAAACAATTTGGCCGCAATATCAATCAGGCTAATATCCCTGTAATTTTCGCATCTAGATCTGTCGCCATTTTTTGGGACCGGGACTAAAATCGAAGCCGTTCAGTCTTTTGGAAAATCTTCTCTTTCCCAAATGGAATGAAAAGTAGAGTGCAGCGAATCGATCAGAATTGGTAAGCAAGCTTTGAATAACTCTGGTGGTATCCCGTCTTCTCCAGGGGCCTTCCTGTTTCTCAGAGAAGTGACTGCACTCATGATTTCTGTCGTGCTAGGTGGGAGATCCAGTCTCTCTTGTGGCGAAGAATCTCACCTAACTGCCCCAGCACCGCTTCTCTAATGGGCGTTTTCAGTGTCGACCAGTGTGCGTCGACAGTTGGGTCATCAAAGAAAGTCTCGGCTATGTTGGAAGCGGTTGCGTTCAGCAGCGCCTGTCTTCTCTTAGGTCGTTCCAAGAATGCGACGTTGAATTTCCCCGGGAGGCGAGTTGCTGGTGAGTAGTCAAGTGCATCTTGAAGCGGTCGCGTACAAGGGTATGGCCTGTACCTGTTCCTTTTTCCAGTTTCTGCGCCGCGATATGAACGGCAGTCTTTTACCGAAGAGGCCCATCGCGCACGTATCAAAGTATAATCAATCTGGTGTGCCGTTCGACCATCGTTTCAGTACCACGTGAGCAGGGGTTTTCTGGGGGTATTGAAAACGAGTGTTGGCCACGCCCATCTGGTAAGGTCAGCAGATGTGACTAGGCGTTCGCCATTTTTGCAACGTTGATCAAGGCCAAACTTTCCCGAAACATGTCAAGTATGTTCGTCTGATGGACCAGTGCGCGCGTTCCAGTCCCCTGCGATAACAAGGATGTCGCGCCTCGGACTGCGGTTCAATGCGTCTTGAACTTGGTTGTAGAAGTGGTCTTTGGTGGGCTCTTCCGCATGTAACGTTGGAGCATATATAACGATGACTCGGGTTAAACGGTTTTCCTCTGAAGCGCTCTATGACAATCCTGGGAGAGATCGGTTCCCAGGGGATCATCGCATTGTTGGCCCGGCCGCTACCCCTCACAAACCGGAGTTGTTAGTTGGGCCGCTGTAGTATAGCCGGTAGGTTGCGTTGATTAGTCTTGTACCACAGTTAGGTAGTCGGACTTCGGACAGACAACAGATGTCTACCTTGTAGTCGTGCAGTAAATGCATCGTGATACATTGACTTCCGGTGTCTAGCAATGTTCTAACATGCCAGCAGGCTACATGGATGCTGGAACTGGTGCATGGATGATTTAGGTTCCGAGTTTGCTCATTTGTCACCTCAGTCACTGGGAGAGCGCAGGGCGAGTCTCTTCCCGGGAATACCGTCGCATTAACGTAATGTAAGACAATCCATGAAGAAACTTGGGAATAAGGTAATAAGTGACGTCCCCAGCGCCGTTCGGATATATTACTAATTGTAAAATATATTTCTACACATTAGTGCAGTTAAACAGATGAAGATATTTTGCGTATGCATCTTGCTAATACTACCCCGACTTGTTCTTCTGTTCAGTGAATTTTCGAGAAAAACCGGTAGTCAGAACCGCAATAGTGGAGCCAAGTATGGAACAAACTAACACATCGGAACCAAATGATGTTAAGAGTGTATCGAAAAGTCGATGCGCCATTCACATGGAACAAACTAAACTGAAAATAGGTTTGATCAAGGCAAGTTACAATGAATAAATCTAGATTAGTTTAATTCGTGGTCAAAAAAGTATACTCAAAACGGCCAAATCAGTTCCGGGTTATTTTTACACATACTGAAAAGGTTTGGTTTATCGTTCCTAATCACACAATCTCAACAAACCTACCTTCACGTACTTTTGGCGATGGATAGGTCACAAAAGGACACAATATCCGATCCGGGTATTCCTCACGAATTTTTCCCATCAACAGTGTGCCAAGACCGGATCCAGTCCCGCCACCCATCGAGTGTACAATCTGAAATCCCTGAATACACTCACATGCTTCACACTCGTTGCGTACGATCTCCATGATACTGTCTATGAGTTCCGCTCCGTCCGTATAGTGTCCTTTGGCCCAATTGTTCCCGGCCCCGGCAGCCCCGAACACAAAATTGTCCGGGCGAAACAGATCCCCATTCGGTCCGCCTCGTATATTGTCCAGACAACCAGGTTCCAAATCGACCAGGACACATCGTGGAACAAATCGGCCAGCTGGGGAAGACGCATCGTAACCCGGAGCAAGTTGGACATCCGAGAAGTGCGCACAGTTAGACTAGGTATTATTGTGCGAACACTTTGATAGACGGCATGATAACAATAGAAACAGGCCAGCAATAATCACCACAATTTAAACAGTAGGTACAACTACCTACAGATGATGGTTTGCATCGGAAGGGGACTTCCGCGTAGCGTATTCCTAGAAGAGTTTATCACATGTCCGAGTATCTCAGGACCGATTGTGTCAATGATTTGTAGAAGGAAGTTGAAAGAGTTACACGAACTGCTTTGGAAAGATAAGAAGAGGACATTTAAAGTGCCAACTAGCAGGAAACCTCGTGTGATTGGCTGGTCTGATTTCGAACCATTATGTCGATTTAAACACTTTGGTTACATTGATAGTGTGATTGTTGTCAACAGGACTTATCTGTCAATTTTTCTTGTTACTCTCTGGCTGGCTTCACTTATCACGGGTTTTCTGGTACCCATTTCATCAAGGAGATGAAAGAACTCCTAAACCTTTCGGAAAGTACTAGCTAAACATTTTAACCCAGATAGGCAGTTTGATCACCAGTCTTCCGCAGACTTTTAGTTACCTCGTATTTTAAATCAATGTATGCTTCACTAGAACCAAAACTGACTTTAGAAATCGAAGGGAAGATGCAGCAATAAAGAGATTATTGGTTTGAATTTGATGCCAAAACATAATGAACATACGTGATGTAAAATTGATTTGCTTTCTTAGCATCACCGTTCGGCGGCAACCAATAAATGATATTCTAATTGGGACGTAAACACTACTCATTAGAAGTTTGTATAGATAGTAGTTACTTTCCAACTGGTTCCTAAAAGATTTTTCTCTATTGCCTCATCAAAACGATTTGGTTTTGCTGCGGGTATACACGGCCAAGTGGCTGACTACTTCTACACTGCCAACTGACTTCGATGTTGTTTATTCGTATGTGGTTAGTTTGCATGTAAGTTGAAGGTTGCCATATAACAGAACGGTGTTTGAAACTTTGCAATAGGTGCTTATGTAGAATGTCAGTGAACTCAATAGGATACCACGATAAAAAAATAACATAACATAGTGAGAAAGACCGTTTTCATTTATTCGCAATAGTGCTAATAAGAGACATTATACTTAACCAGTAACACCAGATGGAGGACTGACAAATTATAATCCGAAAGATTCTAACCGGACTCCGAGCGCATGATTTTGTGCGTGAGATTGATTTCTGTGGCGTATATTTGGGTGNGGTGGCTACCCATCAGCTGCGGTATATGAACTGGTCTAAGAGAGTTCAAGTACCTGTACAAATCTTTTTGGAGCACATGGAGAATGAGGATATTAAAAACTGAATTGTTGCAACTTCGGCTGCAACTGGGATGCGCCCTTTTACTGCTTATTAGTGGTGACCGCGTAACGAGTACGCACGCACCACGGTACAGCTTCCAGGTAACCAACCAAGAAACGGATTTACTGACCAATCCTGCGGTCTCAACTGGCACGAACCGGATTGGCTGGATGCAAGAGGGAGAACAAATAAACCATATCGTTGTCGGTTGTACATTGAAGAATCGACCAATGATTGTTTGATGCTTGTGATATTTATTTGCATGATTTTCCGAATAGAATTAACTGTATCCACATCTCGTCTCGGTTCTACCTGACTTTGCGCTATCCAGTGGGTTTTCAGTCCGAGTTCGCGCTATCCGATTCCTGTTCCGAATACTTCATTTTTATTAAGTACGTCGAGTGTTTTAAATGGAACAAAATGTGTTCACGACATTCACTGAGTGATTTGAGTCAACGAGGCGCGAATACATTGTGCTCGTGATTCATCTAATTGATCAAACAAACTAGATGGTGCTCACGAACCCAATCAAAGAAGCCCCAAATCATGCAGCCAATGTGCCTAGTCTAACAGGACTATAAGACTGGGTTTTCACAGAGGCGGGCTGTGGAATCTGATACTTTGTCTTTCAGGCAAGAACAATAATAATAATAGTGTGGGAGTTGGTCATATGGTGTAAAAAAACAATCAAGCGTGAACTAAAAGGCCAACCTAACTCGGTCGAAACTGCTATTCAGTGCATCTTGATTTTTCAGGCCATGCTTCATTTCCTTTTTACACGACAAAATTTGCCATATGAACCATAAATTTAGATAATATTTGAACTAAGTAACCTTTAGACTTCACCTTCTCGCATAACCCTTAGTTCCACCAGTCAACCATGCACTCGGAAGCACTCACTGACTGACTAACACTGAAGACGACCCGAGCAAACATGAACTGGCAATTCGTTTCAGCCCTTGTATGGGTTGGATAGCGCAGTGGTAACGCATATGCATTTTATGCGATGGGTCCGGCGTTCAAATCCCGGAAGGGACGGTGGATGTGCACCACTGATTAACTCTAAGGAAGGCGAAACTCTAAACTAGTGCTTTCGCGTGTATGGTTGAATCGATGAACTGAGGATTGTGCGTGAAGGTGAATTCTGAAGGATGGTCAGTTCATTCAATATCAATTATCCCACACCACATCTCACAGGTAACCGCGAGTCTAATGAGAGCTTTAGATGTGAATAGAGTTTTCCGTTATGCACGTGACCGTTTCCCTTGATCTGTCGTCTCCCACTGTAACTTTTTTGGACGGAAGGAAAATATATACAAACCTCTGACCAGATATAATTTATTACGCCTTTTCATAGGTTCTTGTGTTTTTCTTATTACCGATAATAAACTCTGGGTGGTCCTGTATGTGCAAAAAACGCGGCTCATTTCTGAGAATATTTGCCGTGTTTGTGTTTCTTTTATCTGTTCTACTCACTGATCAGCATATTGGATTTTAATTCCTTTGAACACGGATGATAACTTAAAAACGATTATACTCTCTATCCCATGTTGTTTTTCCAGAACAATAACGGAACGAAGCTAGTAATAAACCAACCTACGCACGTCTTCAGATAAGGCGACCTTCAGCCATTTTAAATTCAGTTCAGTTTCACTTTGAACAACCATTAAGCATGCATTTCCGTGCGACCCTTTTGATTGTTGTCTTTTGGCTGCCCATTTGGGTAAACAATAGGAGGAAAACAGGAAGGTTGAAGGAAGGATCGAAGAGAAAATTGAGAAATTCAGGGGATTAATGATGCAG